ATTTTTAATTTTTTAGTGATTGAAATTAATAAAATAATAAATAATAAAATTTAAAAATATTAAAATATATAAAAATAATTTTATATACAAAGTACACTAACCCAATAGGCCTAATTTCCTATAAATAATACGATTTCCAGCCCAACTTCCTTACCTCCTTAATAAATGAGGCCCAAAAGGAAAAGTAGAAAAAAATAAAAAAATTGCGGCCTAGCATACTTTCATGGAATAGAAAACACCCGATCTAAATTTTTAATCACATAAAATTTAATACAACTAAATGTATGTTAGTAAATGAAATTTTTTACTAAATAATTATAAATATAAAAAATAATATAAAAATTAATCTATAATATATAAATAAAAATTTTAATTAGATAATTTTTTTAATATTAATTTAAAAAACAAATTTTAAGATAGATCTAGATAAAAATTGAGTACAAGAAAAGGCGCACCGCATTATCCCCAACTTTTATTCCTTTCTTTTAAGAGAAAATGTGTAGGTAATATGCGAATTTTTTATTTTTTATTTAAAAATTTAAATTTTTTCAAGTTTTTAAATAAGTAATGATTATTTTATTTTTTTAATTTAATAATTTTTTAAATAAAAATGATGACATAATAAATAACAATTTTTAACTCTAAAGAAAATTATAGTAAAAATTATACTTTTAAATTAAAAAAATTATATCTTAAATAAATAAAAAAATGACAGACAAGATTGCGTATTCTTATCTCATCCTTTTCTGTTACTTTTCACACTCTTCAAACCAAACACTTTTATCGCAACGCGAATCAACCTTTCCGACTGTTCTCGGCAGCCTGAAGGGGGTGAGATCCGGGGAAGGTAAGGGGTAAACAAATAACCCTTTGGAAAAAATCTATAGTCGTAGACTTCAAAGAATAAAGGTCAGAAATCAGCACGCCCTCGAACCTTCCACTGCACGAACATACAAATTTTGGGGGTGGGTAATTTCCCCGAATAGATCTTAACCGACTCCGTCCTCCTTCGGAATCAGAACGATTATCTCATTCAAGAGGTTAGAATTTCTCATTTATCTTCGCAAATTCCTTGCTTTATTGGTTTTAATTTCTTCTATTTATTAAAAGGATTGTCTTTTTTGGCAAATCTGGTATCTTTTGTGTAGGGTTATTGATTTGGGATTTGGGGATTTTATCTGGGGTTATGATTATGATCATGTATAGGGTTTTTGATGTATGATCTAGGAGAGTGAATGATTTGAGGCAAATTAGTTAAGAGATTTATATTGTTCATCTGTTTTATTGGGTTTGATTTCGTTTAGATTTTTGTTATTGTATTTTAGATATATATAAGAGATGGAAAGTGGGTTTGGAGAATCAGCAAGCATGCCGTCCCAGAGTTGCTCAGGCAATAGTGCCAATGATGCGGGGGATTTTGAATGCAATATCTGCTTTGATTTGGCTCAGGATCCGATCGTCACCCTTTGCGGTCATCTCTTTTGCTGGCCTTGTCTCTACAGATGGCTGCACCATCACTCACATTCCCAAGAATGTCCGGTTTGTAAGGCCCTCATACAAGAGGAGAAGCTTGTTCCTCTTTATGGAAGGGGCAAAACACAAACTGACCCACGTTCGAAGTCATATCCGGGTATGGAAATCCCTCAACGCCCAGCCGGGCAAAGACCAGAAACTGCTCCTCCCCCGGAAACCAATCAATTTGCTAATTATGGGTTTGGATTAATGGGTGGTTTCATGCCAATGGCAACTGCAAGGATTGGTAACTTTACTATGGGTTTTGGTGGCCTGTTCCCGTCCTTGTTTAATATTCAATTCCATGGCTTTCCGGATGCTACTGTGTATGGAACAACGTCAGGATTTCCATATGGATTTAATGCATTTCATGGTGGTCATGCTCATGGGTTCCATCGACCAACGAGTCGAGTACAGCAGGCAGATAATGTTTTGAAGAATCTATTTTTCATTATAGGGTTCTTGGTGATCCTTGCTCTGATTTGTTGGTAAACGTACGTAACTTAATCTGGTGTTGGTTTCTTTGAATGTTAGTGCCTGTATCTGTATATCACCATCTGCAATGGGTTTGGTGTTTGAAAATAATTAATTATAGGACATCGTCTTGTATCATCAATATCTGCAATAAAATGCATCTTTGTCTTAATTGTTTGTCTCCTCTTCTCCCCTCTTTTTCCCTTCTTTCTTTCTCTCATGTTTTTCAGTCTTCTGTTCTAGGTCTTTCCAACTCTAGGATGCTAATATTCTATTTCACAGCCTAAATCAATTTTCCATAAAAAGTTAGTTTTCTATGTTCATTATGGTTTTTTGTGGTTCAGTAATTTGTCTTCATAATAGAATTATGATACTAGTCAACTGCAATAATTTGTATCTTGAGATATGAAGCTTATAAAGCCAATTTGTAATCTATTGGAAGCTCTTTTATTGTTTTGGTTTGCCAGGAATGGGAGGTTGGTTTGAGTCTTTTTCTTATGTGGGATATGTTCGCGTAGGCAAATGAATGGAACAGCTGTTGTTCTTGGGTCCTTTAGCATTCTTATGAATGAGAAACAAAGGTCTTTTTTTTTTTTTTCTGTGTTCTTTTAGCAGTCAGATGGAGTTAACCTGGCGTGCCTGTTGATGTATTTATTTTTCTACGAGCAATAGTAGAGGGCTTGGCCTTTTGACACTGTAGTGTGCTCATTATGTCTCTCAAGATCTGTTCTCCTAAAGGTTAAGTTGGATTGGCAAAACGTGTTAAAGTAAGTGCTGCATAAGTTGCAATTGGTCCAATATTCATCCAGCCAAAAAAAAATCCACATATATAATCAGGGCTAGTGCATGAGATTCTTAGTCTCAGAGAATCGAAAATAGTTCAAAAGGATTGCCAATCTTCATACAGCGAACAAGGAATCCTCAACCTTAATTATACACTTAAAACGTAGGCACATAATCGTGGGACTTTATTGTTGCAGTAGGACAGCACGTCTATACATAATCATGGGATAGCTTCTTTACTTGCCTCCATGTAGTCTCCATAATCTTCTCCATTCTCTGCAGCATTCTTTCTAAAGCATCTGTAATAAACGTACTGCAATATGATCTGCCAGACAAAGATCGTTAAGGTTTTTTAACCAAGATATTCCATAAGAATTATAAATTGATTGAGATTAGGGTCTAGCAAAAAGGATACAAATAAGTCGAGTGCCACGCAGACTACAGCATCTAGCAACCATGGCATATTAGCCTTGATGCTATCCCATTCAGTGGTTCTCACAACAATACTGCATTCCACACCAAAAGGCTTTTCCATGTCATTCCAACATTTGCAAAAATGCACGATTGTTTGATTAATGAAACAAAAAAGTATCGTGCTGCTTTTGGACTACACAATTTAAACTATTAGATAGCAGATAAGTCTTTCAATAGTGAGAACTGTCCCTTATGCAATAGTTATTATTTTACAGTTTAATACATTTCAGATTATAAAATAAAAAACTCTTGAACAAACTATAAACTATATATTATTAAGGAGAAGAGCTAACCTTAGCACATAAGTGACATTAGCTACTAGTGCAAAGACGAACATTAGTGGATTCAAGCCCTAAACATATTCAAAGAAATTCTGAATTGTTCAGCCAGCAATTATATATGTTATGATTTGAATTGAATATATTGTTGGGTAATTTAGATTATTGTTACCTCCACGCTCCCTCTTTTAATCTGGTTGAAAATTTAACCAAGAATTAGGAACCATATATAGGAAATGATTCAATGAAGAAACATATAGACCCTGTAAATGCGTACATATCACTTACATTTAGCCAGATTTGAGGGATTCGGCCACCCATGTATATGGCAGCCATCAGCCATCCCAACCATTGCCCAAAGGCACTGTGCTCTGACCCATGTTCCAGCTTCAAAGACGAGGTACAGTTGGAATTTCTGAATTCAAAATTTTCTCTATTTCTTGCAATATTTAGCATTAACCAATAACCAATGGTACCTGTAACAGTCTTCCCCCAATAAATCCTGCATAAGTTTCACTAAGACCCTGACCGTGTAAGGGCAGATTGACAGATGCAGCTAGAAATGTTCCATAACTTACAGCCTGAAAAGCATGCAATTTCAGATAAGTTTTCTTCTTTTGCTAAACTCCATAATATCCAAAAACTAAGTTAGATCTCGATTAATTTATAATCAAGTTGCATCAGCCCCATCCACAATTAGAAAACTTTTCCAACACTTATTTTTTCATTTATAAAACTCCAACTTAAATCTTAACTTAAAAGGAAACAATCTCCTTTTCAGTTGAATCAATATGTCATTGGAAATAAGTTTAATTATATTGTTCGAGACAACTAATTAAGCTACATACTCTGTAATTTAGTAGTTCAAGAGGTACTCACGGATCTCGGGATTGGCCTAGGCAGGCTAGCTGCATGATTCCTGGATGAAACAGGGGCGGCTGCTGTCTCATCATCTGATGATGAATCGCTGTCAATTGTCATGGCTGAAGGACCACTTTTAGCTATCCTCATGTAAGTCCAAAATGGTGGAGTGCCACTCCCGAAGGATCTTGCTGACCTGAAAACGAATGCAATGCCTTGAAGTTCAAGCTTCGTTGAATCAAAACAACAATTTCTAACCAGGAGACAGACGATGCTGTTCATACGTATAGTAAAACTCTCGGCGAGGAGTGGAATTTGGTGAAGCCTTAGGTATGGGAATTCCTGCATCACCCCTGTTGGATTTCAAAGGCTTCTTTTGATCATCTTCAACCTGACATTGCAGAAACTATATTATTAATCAAACAGGATGATGACCTTATATATGTATTTATACGATCTTAGTAACAAAATATTCAATTATTAATTATACCGTTTGGTTTTCTCTGATCTTTCTACTCGTCCGCCATCGGTGTATGTAATCATAGTAGATGCTCTGCAACACTAAAACTACAGTACTTGCTGTATAGAGCTGTAACAATAAAAAAAGTTGTGTTAATGTTCCTATGGATATACTCCGTGTCTAAAAATAAGTGCAGTTTTTCCTAATTTTTTTAAATTAAAAATTTAGAGATAATATTTGTATTTATTTATAAAAAATAAAAATAAAAAGAGACTTTCTATAATTAAATGATTAGTTAAAATAAATTAATAATAATAAGATTAAAAAAGTAAAAAAATATTTATCTATTTTGAAAACTGAAAAAGGGATAATTAATTTAGACAATTTTAAATTAAAAAAATGATAATTATTTTGAGTTGTTTTGGGATATAATGAGTATATATATTAAAAGAAACTAGCAGTAGTTGCTGGTAAGTTCACCGCTTTCCTGTAGAATTGGACTAAGACCCATTAAGTTTAGTGGGCCTGAACAGAAGGGCCCAATTATTATTATTTTTTTGAATAATTAAAATTAATTATGGGTTTTGGATTAGACAATGATATAATTGTAATGATAAATAAAATTGTAACATTATAGACAGACACTTTAATTGAAATAAGTCAATCATATTTTATCATATATAATTACAATATTATATATAATTATAAACTTATAACAAAAACATTAAAATAAAAAAAATTAGGTTAAATACCCTTTTTGATCCCTCTACTACAGGAAAAAACCCATTTTTGGTCCCTATACCGAAAAAATCTCTTTTTTTGTCTTTATTGTTCACAAATCTGGCCCATTTTTGATCCTTTCATTAATTTTTGCTTATGTGGCACGTTAACTTAACTAGAACAGTTGACGTGGATATGTTAATGCGTAAAATATGCTTATGTGGACTCCACATCACCCTCCACGTCACCTTACTTCCTTCAGCCTTTTTTTTTTTTTTTTTTTTGTCTTTTTTTCTTTTTACCTCCAGGCGAACCCAGCTCGTGGGTTTGTGATGAACCTAGGCACCTGGGTTCATCGCGAACCCAAGATGAACCCAACTCACGCGACTGGGTTTGCGATTGGGTTGGCAATGAACCCAGCTCGCGCCTGGGTTCGCGACATACCCAGGCGCAAGTTGGGTTCTCAATCTCTGCCAAGTCGCAAACCCAAGCGTGAGCTGGGTTCTCAATCCCTACCAAAAAAAAGAAAGGATGTTTTTCTCAAACAAACAGCTCTAGAAACATCCAACAACAAAATCGAAAATGAACCCAAGAGTAGCAAAAATTTTGGGAAATTGAAAATTGAGGATATGAAATTCCAGCACTCAATGTCAAAGGCCTAAACTAGAAAATCAAATCGATCACATCCATCCTTCAATCACTTGGATGAGATGAAAAGCACATTATTAAATTCCAAACAATTAGCAGTAACTAGAAAATTTCACTACAATTACAATGTCATTATCATTCCAAACCAAATCCATCCATATCGAAACCAATCAACTACTACGTCCTCCCCACTGATCTAAAACATGAGCTCACAAAAAAACGAAAGACATGAGAACGAACAGAGAAGAGGAAAGTGGGACTGACCAGACCAACAGAGGAGACAAGGGCATAAGTAGCACAAAGAGCATAGAAGATACCACTTGGGTTCATCACGAACCTAGGAACCCACGACGAACCCAGTCGCTTGCGTTCATCGTGAACCCAGGCTCCTGGGTTCGCCTAAAGATAAAAGGAAAAAAAGCCGGAGGAAGTGGGGTGACGTGGAGGGTGATGTGGAGTCCACATAAGCATATTTTACTCGTTAGCATACCCACGTCAGCTGTTCCAGTTAAGTTAACGTGCCACGTAAGTAAAAATTAACGAAAGGACCAAAAAGAGACTGGTTTTGTGAACAGGACCAAAAAAAAAAGGAATTTTTCGGTATATGGACCAATAAGAGCTTTTTCCTATAGTAGAGGGACCAAAAAAAATATTTAACCAAAAAATTAATTATACTATATATATAGTCACAAACGACCCATCATAATTATAAAATTTAAATATCAATCATATAATAATACATATTTTTAAATGAAAAAGGTCACGATACATCATAGTAATAAGATTAATTATATCATTTTTATTTCATAGAGCGTGAAGTATAAGGTGCTGAGAAAGTCGGCATTACCAGAGCAGTGTAGAACTGAGTGGGCAGCTGCATCCAAAGAAAATAAAAAAAAACCAAAATCAAAACGATAAAGATGACATGAAAAGAAAATAAAAAGACCAAAATCAAAAAGATAAAGATGACATAAACTTGTGGATGAACCAGTGATAACCAAGTGCAGATAAAAACAAAGCAGTACGTAGTTTTCAGTTTTAACGATAGCGACCCAATGATACCAAACCAACTTTACGGTTTCTGGAGTCCGGAAGTCAGGACAACCAGACACCCTCCCAAACCGTGAACTCACCGTTGAAGGTTCCAGAAGACATCCGACGAGATTAAACACATCCCTGCATTAATATTCCAAAAACATAAATGAATGAGGAGAAAATAGAAATGAAGGGGTGGAGAGAAAAGGAGAAAAAAGGGGACAAACCCAGCAACCCAAGTGAGGAGGAAAACAACGGAAACGCCATGGGAGGACTTGGTGCGGAAGTTGGTGATGATTTGAGGGATTTCTGCGATTCCCCAGCATAGTAGGCTCGTTAACCCGAAAGCAAAGGAGATATCATCATTTAGATTGCAGAGACAATCCTTAAAATATTTCTTGACCCATCGAACGCAGGGCTTTTGCTCCTTAACGCAGTAAGCAAAGGTAGACATATCTTTTGGGCTTTGAGGGGAGTGTAGTTGTTTTTTTTTAAATGTTTTGCAATCTTAATTTGTTAATATAACAGAGAGGGTACTATGTCTACTATGGCATGTTGTCGTCATTTTTGCGATGTATCGCGATAGGACAGGTGAGGACAGTGGCTGTCCTGTCGTACGCATATTCTGCCATCCGATGCTTCCGACCGCATATTCCACTCGTTGGATGCCTCATACGGTTTGGATGAAGTTTGCTACGGTGCAGATTTCATGACGAAATTAATAATATGGGGTTGAAAACAGGTACAAGATGTCTAAAATATGATGACATTTTCTCTTGAATCTGGTCCGGACCGTAGTAGAGGGTCTCTTTTGTTACTAGGTTTTCTTGTAATTCAATGTTTAATGTTTTATGTATAGTTGTAGTAAATTATAAAAAAAAAATGTTTTTTGGTTAGAGGTAGAGAAAAATCAAGATGTTTAGTACTTAAAACATTAAAAATAATATTAAAAAATTTAAATATACTTAATGAATTAATGTGAAAAAATTTTTATTAAAAATAATTAAATAATTTTACAAATTATTTTGACATTTTAAGTGTTAGAATGTTGTAATTTCATTTTTCTTCTTTTTACGTGGAATAAAAAACATACCAAACCATTAGTAGCTAAAACAGTATCGATGTCCCATTTGGGAGTCACATGATGGTTTTGTTTACTTTATTTGTACAAAATTATTTGTACGCTCTCTTGCTCTCATTGGCCCGCAATCTGTGTCAACATATTGATCTTGATCACATAAATGACGCTTGGATTCCATATATTAGCTAGGCTCAATCAATGTTAAATGGAATTGGGTTTTGTACACAAATAATTCAGTGTAAAATGGTGATAGGGTTTCACACTTACAAAAAAAAATGATGTTGGAATTTTCTATATTTCTATGTTTAAGGACACAAAGTTACAACTCTACTTATGTACAAAATCAGTGTGTCGTCACTTTCTTTACTTGGAGTCTTCCATCTCAACACACCTTTTTGTAATTAATAAGGAATATGTTAATGATATAATAAATTGTAAAGGAGAGAGAAACATTAGGAATTAAACGCGTCCAATTGTAATTCGACAAACATTTGGTGAAACAGTGACATTTGAAAACGAAGGAACTCATCAAAGACTTATTGGACTAACATGAACACATAAACCTTCCTCGGTTGGATACTCTTCTTCAAGGTTAGTCTGTACAAGTACAAACCCCCAAAACAAACTAACCCATTATGTAGGCCAAGTTCAATACACCTAACTATCAAGACAATGTTGATTCGCACGTTGTCAGTTTGAACATGGCTCTCAAGTCATCCAGATCCATTCCCGTGTTTCTGTTATATTAGTTTCGAATCCATACATGTTTAAAATCTAATCAAAACATGGGAGAAACGAAGATGCAAACATGAAAAGTTGAGTCACTGCAGCAGTAGTATTTTCTGGGTTTGGCCGACACTGCTGCAGTAGTACTAGTTAGGTTTCACTATTTTGCAAAATGAATAAAAAAATTTTGTGAGAACGAAATACGAAGAGAAAATTCAAAGCGAAAGGGAAAGGAGGAAGAAGAACACTTGCCTTATCCATTAAACAGCTACAGGAGGGGAACTGAATGCACAATCAAGACGGCGACGATGCGCTGCAACTTGTGGGTGAGATTAATTAATGACAAGTGGCACCTGGTTTTCCAGGCGTTGGGGGTGTGTTTTGTACAGAGTCGTGTCTATCCTAAATTCCTAATCTTAATGCGGAGTGCGGTGGTTCGATAACGTTTCATGATTGTCCCTGCTGACCGTGCCGATTACGGCCTTCACCTGTCAATTCAATTCGGCTGTCTTTGATCGAGACCACAATAATTAAAGACTATTGACACTGACTGAATTAAGAAAAAAATTTGTAAAATTTGTGCAGTAAAAAGTATATTAAATATATATTTTTATTATAAATTTATATTAAAAATAAAAATTAAGTTAAAATTTTAATTTGGCCCTGAATTATTGAATGGATCGTCAATTTGGTCCTTAAACTAAAAAAATCTCTAAGTTGATTCCTGAACGATTATACGAATCTTCGATTTGATCCCTACTGTTTACCAATTTGCCCCAAATTTATCCTTCTATACAAAAACAATTAATATGTCTCGTTATTAATGTAATATGTGATCGTTAAGTTATTATTTTCTTTCATTAAATTACTGTTTTTTGTCGTTAAATATTAGACATGTCAGTTTTTTTTTTTATATGGAATGACTAATTTTGGGCAAATTGATAAACAGTAAGGATCAAATCGAGAGTCCATACAATAGTTTAGAGATCAAATCAGGAAAATTTTTAATTCAAGGACCAAATTGAGGGTCGTATAATAATTTAGGAATCAAAATAAAAATTTAACCTAAAAATTAATATT